CGACGATGATACACAATAAGAGGAGTGGCGATGTTTCTAACAGAAGATGTCACTGGCAATGAAGGCGGAACAATGGGAAGAATAGAAACCGGAGAATCGGTTCTCAAACGAGACCGTGGAGGAGATGGGGGTGGCGAGGAGGAACGCAAAACAACCATGCAGAACTTTTGTAACAACATCTGTCATAAGAAACAATGGAGGAGCTGAGTTCACCATGAAACCAGCCAAATAGGCATACAGCTCCTGCGAAGGAGGCAGGAGAGTATATATAGGGTAAGTGGCATTCGGGACAGACCGAACACCCGAACCCGAACGCCCGAACGTGCAGGATCCCTTGGGGACGCGTTCGGCCGTTCGGGCCGAACGCAGACCAAAAAAAGAAACAGAAAAAAACAATTCAAACAAATCTGAAAAAAAGATATGTTATGAAGAAAAATAAAATAAACAACATTTCCCTGAGCATTACATCCACATTCCTTACCACTGCAAACTGTTAAGAACCACTGCTACGTTTTTCGACCACATTGGTTACCACAAAGCATGCCCTTTTTCAGTTGGTCTCTTGGACTGAGGATTGCGGACTCCATAGCCGGAGCTTTTCTTTTCCTGTTTCTGGGGGTGCATCCGGTTTTTCGGGAGGCAGTAGCATATTAAAGACTACCTTGATTCACTTTGCAAATCACCAAAAGAGACGAGTTTCATTAGAGCAGTGAACCACGCCTCGCAAACAACCCACTTACATGTAAATGTATTTCACAAGGTCTAGTATGATAGATATCAAAATACCATCATTTACAAAATTCAGCTGTCAGGATTGCAACTCCGGGCTTGGGTTCACGACATACAGTATGTTAGATATCAAAATACCATCATTTCAGGAAAAAAAAAAAAAAAAAACCAGCATTCCCAAAGTTCAGCTGTCAGAGTCACAAGTCCGGGTTTGGGTTGGGGAAGGGATCAAAATAAATCTAGGTGGACAGGCCTGAATGTGACAAAAACACGGCATGAAGCTCCACCTCACACTCCAAAACATACAGAAGAAATGTGCGCTCCAAACCAAAGAGGCATACTAAGGGAGGCCTTGTATCGTATTGTAAGACGAAAGGTGACCTTTGAATTAGACAGTGAAGCATGATCTTATTTTCGTTAGTAAAAATGAAGGGTGGTCTTGTAATCCGTCAGAGGCCGAAGGCTGCTCTTAAATTCTGCTGAGAGAGTGAACAGTGATCTTGTATTCTGTTTCTCTCACATAAGCTCGTGTGGCAACGGCCTAGCAAGAGCCCGATCCCGTCTGGCAACGGCGTAGCCAGGATTCAATCCTGCAACCTACGTCCTGCATGAGAGTCAGAGCAAGAAGCAAGGATAGTCTGACCTACACAGGAATTCACTGCGGTAGCAGTAGACCGGAATTTGAACATGGGTCTTAGTTGTCCTGATGGTGTTGGCTTAGCTCTGTCTGTGTTCCAACAGTTTCATGCTCACTCTATAGCCCTCACTCTCCAGAACTCCTCAACGGTAGACAGCCTGTCCTTCCAAGACATGAAGGGACCTTCCCAATTCGATAGCCCTGAAAGTCACCATGTGCTTTCAAAGAAGGCATTGCAGCACCTGCCCCAACATGCCCCAGCAAGGTGAATGACTCTGATCTTCCCCTTGACCAATCCATACTCAAGGAGCGAACTGAGTGCTGCGGCTGGCTGCTGCCTTATCTCCATGCCGTGTTCTCCCTTTGGCCACATCACTGCTATCCGGTGCAATCAAACGAGTGCAAGCTAGACCCTAAGAGAGAGATTGGAGTGAGTACAGCTTGGATCCTCTGGAGCACCCATAGCCCGGGACGGAACTGATTGCAGACCATCGAAGGCCGGACCCGTCTTGCGCTATGTTCATTCATGCTTAGAAAGCTTGAACTTGGTCTGCAGTGTGGCCAGGTTATTGGGCTTGGCCATAGGAGACGACAAGATAGCAACTGCCAAGCCAAGACAGGTACAAAGAACGCTATGTAGAGACCACCGGCATGGGTAGGAGCAGTCCTTCCCCAACCACTCGACTTGCAGAAGCCAAAAGGTACCAATGGTGGAACTACGCCATTCTAGATGCCTATAAAATCAACGAAAAGGAGGCCCACAAAGAGTGGCCTGCCATGTTTTCTATCTACAGCTAGAAGAGAGAGTCACTGTCTTTTAAATCGAACAGAGTAGTGCTTGCAACCTTGCTTGCACTTGCCAGCAGAGAAAATGAGGGAGATTTAAGATAAAAGCGCAGGTTGTCAGGAGGGACAGAAGGAAAGTGTTGGACAAAAGTTAGGTGAGCATTCATCACCATAGCAAGAACCCGTAGACAATGACTGGAAATCCTTGCAGCATTCCATACGAACCACCACCGTCTTATGACCTAGTTTTGTTCTTTCTGAAAAGTGCAAAGCTGTGCTTACAAAGTCTAAGCCACTAGTACGAGGGCCAGGGGGGGAGGCTCTGAAGAACATAGCCGTACACAAAGGGGGTACCAAGGCGGTGCACAAAATTCTGAGTACCCCGACTTAAGCATTTCCCTCGCCGACAACGATGTAAGATAGTTTCCCCACATCTGCGAAAACAGTAGATATCATCATCATCATCATCATCATCATCATCATCATCATCATTGCCATCTGTGCTCTCATTTTGCGCAGATAGCTACTGGTATTTTTTTGCACCATCAGCATCATCATGATCATCATCATCTAACCTATAGCTTTATCATCATCACTATCGACCCTGAGGTTCATCATCATCATCATCATCATCAGCAGCAGCAGCAGCAGCAGCAGCACCGTCATGGTCAACATCTGCATTAAGAATGACAACATCATCATCTGCATAACCGTCTACAACATTGTCCGCAATCCTCTAAGAATTATCATCATCGACGCCACTGCTATCTCTGAAAAGCGTTGACCGCAAGTACATCAAGACCGCGATGTTGAAATCCCCACCTTTAGGCCATCATCAACATCCTAATTGTTCGTTACCAACTCAGCAATATATGATAATCTGACTTACGGTATGATCATTCACCATGTCAGCTTCATCATGCACACCGTCATCAAGTCAAGTATTCACATACTCCACACCAGATCTGACCTGAGGGGTGGAAAGTAGAGCTGCCTCCCTCTCGCTCAGCCGAGAGTGCAGCAGGACGAAGTAGATCTTCCAAAAGTGAGACTCCGTCATGTAGTTCGAACAAAGCTCCATTCTTAACGCCACCAACCTTGGGCATTCATACTCGAGCGCTTTGATGTGTCTCTCCTGGGCAGGTGACAGCTCGAAAGCTTCAATCCGTCAATGCGCACACACACACACACACACACACACACACACACACACACACACACACACACACACACACACGCACACACACACACGTGTGCATGGAGAGAAGGAAGCAAAAAGACACCCACACGCGCACACACATACACAGACACACGCATGCACAAAGGAGTGCAAAGGAATCAAAGAGGCAATCAAGTTATAAAAAAGAACGAAAGACAAAAAATAAAAAGAAATAAGGAGAGGCAGAGAGGAGAGGGAATGAAGAACAGGGGGAAGATTCAGAATACGCTCTTTCTACAACAACAACAAAAAAAAAAAAAAATTGCATTACAACAGCCAGAACACTGGCCTCATCGCTCCTCCACTCTCGTCCCATTAACGTCCGCCACTTGGATGCAAACCACGGCAGCATTCAGATCGTGTCCCAAATAATAATTCACTAATCATCCTGGATATAGACAATCCGATAAGATAAACAGCAACGAGACATACAGATAACAATTCACACAAACCAGAGACGGAGAAAGCTGTGAAATGTCCATGAGATCCAGCCTCCTCACGAGTCAGTGAGAGTCCTACGTATCGGTCTGGCACAGCAAGTCCTCTCGTCA